CTTTGAACATTTTTCATATTCCCAAAAAGTTTTTGAGATGCAAGTTTTTTGAAATCCGAAACATTTTGAATAAAGAAAAAATCAGAAAAGAAATAAAAACAAGGACACCACCTCCGCTCATTGGCGTACTGTCGCCCGCATGGGTTCGGCCGAGTGCCACGCCAACGTTGAGGCCGTGGTCTCTATGTAAAGATATTTACGAACTTGAACGAAATGTTCGTCGATTCAAAAAAAAAACTATTCATGATTTTTTAAAATGTTCACAAAGTTTGTGAATTACAGAAAAAGTTCATCCATTCAAAAAATGTTCATTAATTTCGAAAAATGTAGTGGAGAAAATCATGAGAACATTTAAGACATTAATACAATTTATATGAAAACATTCATCCATTCAAAAAATGTTCATTAATATTTAAAAAAAATAGTGGAGAAAATCATGAAGACATTTAAGCCATTCATAAAATTTGTATGAAAACATTGTTTTGCAGAAAATCATGTGTTTTATACTTAATATAATATAGAATTGAAGACAAAGCTTTTTTCCCTTCACGACACCAAGAAAATGTAGCATATCATTATTAAAGGTGTTAGAATGGCATCATTTATTTAGATTATATTCAATATATATTGGTGGTAAAACTCTATGTAAACCCATTCTTTGCGAGATCAAGTCAATTAGAAGGCATCATTTACAATCTTATTTGAATGATGAAAAGATAGCATGCTACAAGTGCATGCTTGATTGCACAAGAACATTAAAGCATTCTACCTATGAAGATCATTCTCTTCTTCCTAGTCCTTTCCTTCCTTTGTATTCGGGCACTGACATCCCATGCCTTGGCATACTATTCCTGGGATGGGCGTGCCGAGGTCCTGCCACTCGGCGGTTTTGTGATAATTTTAGCCTGGTTTCTGTTAATTAACCGACCGCAATTAGTCATGTAGTACAATTTGCCCTAGTTTCTTAGCACCAATGATACCCCAAAGTTTTTGCTCCTCTGAGACGATGTTTAGATGGATTGGTGGCGATGCACACTCATAGCATAATACAAAAAAATCTCTCTCCAAATTGTCAAGAGACAAGCATTATAAGGGAGGCCATAGCTCGTCTATTAGGGGGTTTTCATGCCCATTCTCTTATCCCACCAATCCTTGACGAAGCCCCCTAAATGCCAAGTAGAGGTGTCCATGTGCACAAGTCCAAACTTCTCGTTCACCAATCTTCAAAGCCTAAGAACTTAACACAGAAACACTTGAGGAAGAGATATGCACCTGTTTCTTGTTCCCTTTTGCAAAGAGGGAAAAGATCACAATTTTCCCATCCACACCTCTCTAACCGATCAATGGTCCAAATCTGGTCTTGTAATGTCAATTACGCAAATAATTTGACTTTTGGAGGGCCCCAGACTTTCCAAACCATGATGTCCATGGGGGATAGTGTCAATCCAAGGAATCGAGCTTTATATGATTTGGCCGCCGATTAGATCTCATCATTCAAATGCTTCCAAACAATGTCATCTTCGGTTTGCTCGCCAAGCTGGAAGTCATGCACGAGCTCCAAAGAGTGAAGTTCCTGGATGACACTGGTGGGCCAGTGATGACATGTCATCAATTACTCCCCTCAATGTTTGCCAATCAGCGATGATTGCCATTGGTGACGCTCGGTCAGTGATGACCCTCATCGATCAGTGACCCGTCCACACTAGCTGTGTCGGGGATATCTAGCTACATATGCCAGGGGGTGGCTCATCATGGATGGGGACAAGAGCACGTCGCCGGGCTCTAGAAGCGGGAGTGAGCGTGACCTCGAACGCCATGAGGTTTACCCAGGTTCGGGGCTCTCCGTGGAGATAACACCCCTAGTCCTGCTCTACGGGGTCTCCGCATGAGGACTATCGTCAATAGAGTAGCTACAAGATTGCTCCTTAAGCTGTTTCGGCTAGAGAAGGAAAAAGAGCAAGGCTAGCCCTAACTTATCTTTCTATGGGTGTGTGTCTAATGGTTGGGGTTCTGAACCCTTTGCATGTGTGAGCCTTGGGGGTTTATATAGGCCTACCCCCAAGGGTACAATGGTAATTCAGCCGGATGGAGGACCCGGCCGTCAGTGTCTCTGGGCGCCGACTTCTCCGTCGGCTGCTGGGGCCCGCCGCTTGGTGGGTCCCGCCGGCTGCTGTGAACCCGGCCGATAGGTAGGGCCCGCCATCCACGGGCCATGTTAACTGCTTTATACTGTAGACTTGCTCCTGATGACGGAGGCTTTGTCGGGGGGAGCGTGGCTACAGTCTCGCCGCCTGGTGGGCGCTCACTGTAGCCACACCCCGTCTCATCTGGTTAATGGCGCACGGACTTTGAGGGGAGGGAGGGCCGCATGCGGGGAGTCGGCCCGCCCTTGACGCCGCCTGCTGGGGGTTCGCTGTCTTCTAGCGGCTCGCGAATAGGTAGGGCCCGCCGCCCGTGGGCCGTACCGACCGTCCATCGTGGGAGCATGGCTCCCTCTGACGTAGGTGATGTCATGGGTTGCATGGCAACAGTGCCGCGCCGGACGATGGGTGTCCGCTTGGTACACCAACACTATGGCCACGTTCCGCCCTGGATTCGGGGGTGGCAGGTCGCACTGTAGCCATGCCTCGTCTCGTCATGGTAATGGGGTGCAAATTTTGAGGGAACGAGGGGCCGCCTGCTAGGGGTCGGCCCCCTCGTGGCCGCCTTCTGAGAGCCCGCCGTCTTGTGATAGCCGACCCGTCGGACCTAGCGACCTAAAGGGTCGGCCTTTCGTCCCGGAGGTGTGAGGGGCGCAGCTAACCCTGATGTCTTGAAATACCCTGGGGTGTCGATGAGGCTACCCGTGGTCATTTACTCCGACAAGCTGGTCAGTGATGAGGGGTCAGTAGTATCTCAATTTGTTGCAGTGCTATGTGCCCTTCGTGTTGACCGTCAGCTGCAAGACACGCGGTCAAAGGGAAGCCTCGCCGAGAGTGTGATATGCAAGACAAGCCAGCGAGATCTCATGAAGACTTGAAACCCCAAACTTTCAGGAGGGATGCCGTTAGGGAGTGCAGGTGGTTGTAGACTTCCCTAGGTCGTCCTAATAGCCCATGAAGCCACAACAGTCGATGACCCGCCCATTACTTGTTTCCCC